AATAATAATAAAGCGTTCGAGCAACGTTAATTTATGAGTGAAACAACGTGAAATAACGTTTGCGGGAAGAAACTGACTGAACGTGGCAGTGCGTCGACCCTTTGTGCATTATCTTTGAACGTGTGTACACATTAGATTCGATTTGTAGATTAGCCATATTTCTCATGGAGCGATCTTGCTGGCGGTTGCTGCTCGATGCATCACGAACTACACCGTCAGCGCATTTCCCAGACATTTTCGCAATGAACATTTTTGTCCGATTGTATTCTAAACGAGCATCTAATTAAAATAACCTAATTGGTAACGATGTCGATTAATGTAACTACTAATAACACAGTGAAATCAAATTGATTTGACACATGCGATTTATTAAAACGTCTTTAATATGTTCTTAATATGATTTTTGGAAATATTACGTTAATTAAAAATAATCGAAGCTTACGTGGGCATGAATTGTTTTTACTCGTAAAATGACGAATTGACGATAAAAAAATGTCGTAATCGAACAGTAATATTTTATGGTTTAATTAAATGCGAAACTCTTTGAATATTTTAACATTTGTCAAGTACGTCTTTGTAGCCAATCGTATAGGAATTAATAAATTATAAAAAAATGAATGGTTTACGAAATATTTTATATTTTATGTCAGAATATCTCGTGAACTATTGAACTTTTGACCTTTTGTATCTTAATACTTTTTTCCCCGAGAATTAGTGGAGCTTATATTACGTAACAAAAAATATATGATTAAATTTCTCAAAAAATGACAACCGTAAAAAAATGTTGACAATGGTTCCATGTTTTTTCTGTAAATAAGTTAATATCATAATTATAGCTCTATTGAAACCTATTATAATTTCTATCTGAAATTTTTTTTTTCCAAAATTGCATTTTTTACAAGATATTTAACTGTTTCCAAGCTTTTGATGCACCATATATATGCACATATGCATATATTAATATTATAAATAGATAATTTTTTAATATATTAATTTATATTCGAATAATAATTTATTAAAAGGGAATAAAAATATATTTTTAATTAAAATTGAAATATCAGTTTGAAGATATGATATTATTAATTTATTGCAATTTTCAAAATTTTTCAAATATAATATATTCGGGTAATTTTTTTTAAATTGTTCTTTACGATAATAATTCTTACGATAATAATTATTATATACAATTTTATTTGCAGTTAAATTATTGTTAAAGAGATTCAGCTTATTAAAGTGTTCTTCTTTGTTATTTTTGCAGTCTGAGCGAATGTTACTTTGCGGGCAAGGGCGCAGCCCTGGTCTTACCGCCAAACGAAAGGGCTCGTCCTTCGAGACGAGTTTCAGCCGCAGGATGCGACATTCAGCAACACTTACAATCCATGTTCTACCTGTTGAGGCCAGAGGAAACTTTGAAAATGGTAAGTGTAAAGATTTTTTGAAACATATATCTTTGCAACATAATTTTTTGCACATAATGATTTTGACATAAATTTTATATTGCAAAATTTATTGTCCTGTATCGATTTGTCTCCCTCCTAAAATAGAAAATTAAAAGCTTATTTCATAAATATATTTCACGTTTCCTTAAAGATTACCGTATAAAGGAGAGTAAACATTTGAGTGCATCGCATAAAGCCCGACTGTTACGCGGATATTAAAAATACATCCGGTTCCGAGAATTGGCTATTGCGAATTGGCAACGGTTTCACAGTTTCTCGAGCCACCGCTTCTCGAGCGATTTACAGGTTGAATCGCGGGATAATTTTGTGCGCGTATTTCGGCGCGTTTTCCTTGAAACGCGGACAAACCGTTCCCAATTATGCGCTTTCGAAAAATTGGCAACTCTTCGCCTTCGCCTTCGCCTTCGCCTTCGCCTTCGTCTTCGTCTTCGTCTTCGTCTTCGTCTTCGTCTTCGTCTTCGTCTTCGTCTTCGTCTTCACCCTCGCCCTCGCCCTCGCCCTCGCCCTCGCCCTCGCCCTCGCCCTCGCCCTCGTCCTCGCCCTCGCCCTCGCCCTCACCCTCGCCCTCGCCCTCGCCCTCGCTCGCCTTGGTTGCAAGGCGCTCCTCGATCCGATCGTGCTGAGAAATTCTCGCATTACAGCGACTTTACTATTCCGCCAAGACACCGAAGAATCGTGTAAACAAGCGAGTGTACTTGATCTGTACACGCTATTTGTAGTACACGCTGTCGTGTAGTTTTGAAGATGCAAGTAAATTGCAACAGTCGCTGTTATCTTGGAACGTGCTTCGACATAATACATGATTTTACAAGGTGATCTTTTTTGTATCTTGTTTTTATCGCATTAAAATATGCCGTCTACATGCCATTAAAATGCATGTATGAAAAATAACAAATCGAAGAGAATTTTAATCAATACTCTTATTTTGTGAAAAAAAATTTCCTTTTCAAAGAATTTTGGAAAAAAAGTTGGAAAAAAGAAAATTCAATAAATATAGGGAAAACAACAAAAAACGTCGTGTTGACGATTGAAAGTAATTGTGTATTAAAAGCATAAATTTAAGCTCAAGTTCTCTCATTTTTCAAATTATTATCCCCAAAACTGGAATAGTGACTGATAATACCCTTAATATTTTATTATAAGTTTAAGAAAACTCAACAATATTTAATACATTTTTTCCAATACAATTTTTTCGAAACGCCAGACAAGAAATTCTATGCATAGGAAAATATTGGAAAGACAGTAATTTGTAAAATATTCGTCCTTAAGAAAAAAATTTGAAAATAGCTTGAGAATTTTACTTGTGATAATAAATATCTCAGTGAGGACATTAATCAGTTAATTTTAAATGATTTAAATGATTTAAATGATTTTGTATTATTAATATGCTGATACTAATAGAACTATCGATATAGAAATAATAACACAACATCTAATATCCAGATATAGTTCAGACATAATATTAGATTAACTTCTTATATAAATGTATAAAATATCTTTATTTTTATGTACGAAGCAGAGATATAAAAATTATGAATTAAAATTGAGATTGGATCGGAATTTAATCAATTAGAAAAAAAAATCATATTTAATGATTTCTTTTTCTCAGTTGGTTGTTTTTTTTTCTTTTCTTTTTTTTCCCTTTCTTTTTTTTCTTTTTTTCTTTTTCTTCCATGATACTTACTTAGAGAAGATAATGACATTAAAATCAATTATAACAAAATAAAATAAATGCTTTGAATATAAGATTTCCGGAATTCTTATTAAAAAACAAAGAATTTGAACTCTCTTAGAGGTAGAAATACAATAGACTATGTCTGAGTCGTTGGCAGGAAAAGAATCGTTCTTCTGTGGAGAAGAAAAGGAAATTTTTGAGAAAAAAGAAAGAAATATATCTATATAGCGGAAATAGTGACTTTAATTAATAATTATAGTATATGTCAATATAACAAATTTTAAATTTGAATTTTAGTTTTTATTTTACACAAATTTTAAAAATTCTTTTGTATTTTACAATTTTGTTGCTCTTAATGTCATGATTTAAAGTACTTTCTCGATAATAGTGTGTGAGTGTATGTGTTTTTTTTTTTTGTAATATTTATGACAGATGTAAAGAGTATAAATTTACGTGACTTACGTGATTACGTGATCGGTATGAAAGATGATGAATCAGTAAAATTATTTTGTTTCTTAAAAACTCGATGAATTTTTGGTAATTAAAAACTGTCAGATTTCTTGAAACGATGCATATACTTTTACTTTTTATCGATTATATTATGAAGTAAAAACGTATATATGACGTAATTAATGCTTGCAGCATTAATTAATGTACTTTACCTTTCTTTCGTGCATCTGATAATAATAGCAAGTCGCGGAACTTCTTTTCTCCCAAGATATGGGGACTTTAATTTCCTTTATGGGCAGCACGGAAGCGATTCTGCCGTTATTCCTCTTCATACGAGGAAGTTCCGCATAGCCTGTAATATTTCTGTTGGGAAACTTTAAGTAATATATCCACAACGACTCTGAACAATGCGTTCTCACGTGAAGTACGTTCAAGATGTTCGTGCAATCTTCCTCTATTCAGCAAAAGTAAAGAAACTCACGCATATGTCAATATGAATGAATTTAAAAAAAAAAAGGAGTAAAAAAGCGCATCAAATACATGCGGTTCATAAAAAAAGATTTTTATTATAAAAAAATTTGATATAAAAAACTGATACTAATTTATAGATTTATATAGATACATTGTAACATGTATATATTTCGCAACCTGTTTTACGTTTTTTTAGAAAGATATATTTATATAGATATTATTTCATTTTTTTAGTGATAGATTGATTCAAATGTTTTTTATATTAAATCATAAAATCGCAGTGGAATATCTTCCGTACGATCCAATTTGCCGTCAGGTCGATAAGAATTAAAGGAGAGAATCAGATGCGATCTGAAAAGCGCGCACCGCGCTGTCTACCGGTCGCAATCGCGTCTACCTGGAATTTTCCACGTGGGTTTGCCTCGAGTCGAGGCACCACGGTGCAGCGTGGCGCGACGATGTCGCGGCTCGGGACTGCCGGCAAAGTGGGCTAAGCGCGACCCACATGCGCGGGTCGTCGCCGTCGTCACAGAGAAGACGACGTATTTGAGGTCGCAGCCGATCGAGCAACGAGCGCTTCCAGTCGCGCGGTGCACGAATAAGGAAAAGCATCGATGTGAATACAATCAGAATTAGTAATCACGGTGAAAAGAGACGACGGTTTCTCGATTTCTCAATGAATAAATTGGAAAGATTAATTGCCCTTTTTTCAGCAAACAATATATGAAACTAACTAATATATTTAACTAATTAAAAATAAAAAAGTAGTGTTTTCAATAAATTAAGAGCAAAATAAGACGAAACTTGTTGACCATTAGCAATAATTGTAATGTTTATTATATTTGCCAAATTTTAAGATTTTATATAATGCCACTGGACAATAAAATTAATTTCATAAACATGAAAATGAATATTAAAATTCACAGTAGTGAATTTTTGAGATAGACATATTTATCATCATTTGATAATATTGAATATTTAAAATTTTTCTAGTTTCTAGTTTGATACAACCTTTTCTTTACTTTAAATTTATCTAACAATAGTTTATAAATAAATTACTCAGGATTATCAGGTATCAAGGATTAACATATTTAAAGCTATTTAACTATTTTGTTTCAAATTTGATAATTGCAAAGATTCTAATTTATTTGAATTTTGATTTATGTGTTAATGTAACTAATATGTCCAGATATATATATATATATATATATATATATATATATATATTCGAATTTCATCATCAAGTACAAAAGGAGAAAAAATATATAAGAGAAAGAGAGAGCGAGAGACATGGGGGGCAATGTGGGGAAGGCAATGAGAGAGGGGCGAAGGGATTTGCACTCATTTGATACCTTCCAGCTTGTACGTAAATGTCATTCTGTCTTAGAAAAAAATTCTTATTGAATCTCAAGGAAACAAGGAACTTGATTTTTCTGCCGATATATGTTGCTAATTAAAAGACACTTTTACAACTAGAGTTATGACACGCCGAAGTATATAAATAAGATTTGGACAATCGAGAAATGAATCAAATGAGCAAAATTTCGACAGTTTTTTAAACTTAAACTATGAAGAAACAAGTCAGAGAAAATAAAATATAATGCCTTCGAATTAAAATCGAAATCAGTGAAAAATCAAGTATCAAATAAGAATGAACATACGATCATAAAAATTAAATTTTAGAAATCCAAGCATATGCTATTAATAAAATAAAACATTAATATATTTCATTTATAAATAAATAAACTAAATCGAACTAAAATTTATTCTAAACACAAGAGCAACATTTAAGCGTAAATTGATACATGATACTCTTGTATCAAAACAATAAATCAATTTTATTTAATTTCAGAGAGAAGGAGTAGAAATTGTTGATTTAATTTTAACATTGTTTTTTTTTTTTTTTTTTTTTATATTGCGTGGAATGGCAATAAGATTAAACGTCAATTTTTTATTTTATTAGAAATCCTTCCTGTGAGTGTACTCTCACTGGGAATGTACGGAGGAAAGAACATGATTCATCTCGCATGATCATCCAATTTGGGCGAAAGTAAAGAATGACTATTTCTTTTATCATTCAACCTGAACGAGCGTGCCTTTTTATTTAACGCATTACTTACGCAGCGCTTCTTTCACTCCGCGCAGGATGTACTCGGAACAATCGACAGTCAAAAGTGAACGGCCAACGAACGGTAAATTCGCCATTACCTTTGACACGAGTTCGCGTTCCAGATCGAGGGCAAGCAGTTTTAGCTCTAGAAAAAGTAACTCACGCTAGAAGAGATAGAAGAGATCCCTGACCCGGTTTGAAGACGACTTCAGCTCGTTCTCCTTTAGCGCGAGGGGAGGTGGGAGATATGGC